CCCCCCCCCCCACCTTATCACCTGAATCTCCTCCTAGAGCACCATTGAGTTCTTTGTAACCAAATCTCTCTCAGAGGGGCGTGGGGAGGGGCTCCTTATTTTCATCTAAAGTAACAGACAGAGAATCAGCACTTTGGAAACAGGGCTGAAACAGAGGGGATTATGGGTAATGCTGCAATGATCTGTTTGGTGGCCAATCAGAGACATGTTCTGTATATATCTGAGACCTGTAGTATATTGATGAAAAACAGCATGATAGGGGACCTTTAACTAATCAGAAGTTACACTTTTTGGTGGTGCCTATTAAAATGTTTTACATGTGGGTGGATATAGAAAAGTTGGGGCCATGAACCTCAAATGATATCATAAAATCCAAGCTATAGCCCAGTTTAAATACAGGCGACGTCATTAATCAACATATAAGATGGTTTTCTTTAACATGTTTTGCGTCATGTAAAGAGTTTTCCATAAAATAACCCCTTTTTACTGATCTCCTCTTCCTCCTCCTCTTCCTCCTCCTCGTCCTCTCCAGGATCCAGACGGGGAAGCTGTCGGAGTTCTTGACCACTTCCTGTTTCGCTCACCTGAGCTTCCTGGACGGTAAGGCTTCTGGCAGCATGGCTCGCCACGACGCAGCGAATGATGATGATGATGATGAGGAGGGTGACGAAGATGGATACTTGCATGAGTTACATTATGACGATGGTAAGAAAAAAACAACAGATTGATGGATGGATGGGGAGGAAGGGTGACACCAACGATGGGAAAAAATGAGTTTGAGGTTTTTTTTTCCATCGTTGGTTTCTGACCTTTCCTGGTTTTACGTATTAATAAATACAAACACGGTCATACGCTGGAGTAGAATGGGAAGTAAAACCATTATAAATCTAATAAGACGATCAAAATTCCTCATGAACTGCACATTTTGAAGCAAACTTTTGAAATGTGGAGCTACAAGATTTTCCAAATTCTTTAAAAGGGACCTAAAAACATGTTAATGGAAAATAGCCTACTATTGGAATTAATTATTTAATATTTTTGCCGCCCACTCACGTCTTCTAATTTGATTCCCTGTCATTTAAAGTGGTCTCATTCTGCTAACCCCTTACTAAACAATCCAAAAATAATAATATGTATTTGAATATGTCTGTGAATTATCTTACTTCAACATGACAAACATTAAGCCGTTGCAGATTCTCAATAATCCCTGATCGTATCCACATCCTCTTTGTGCTGTTCTGTGATGCCGTGTTTCTACAGCCTGGTACAGCTCTGCTTTTCACTTTTTAAAACACTTTTAGAACCAGTTCATTTCTCTATTTCATATTAAAGTAAAAACCTGGTACTAACCACAACTTTTGGTCATTAAAAAACTCCCAAAAAGAGCAAGTGGAGTTGAGCTAAACCATGTGAGACCGTGCTGTGGAAATGCAGCATAACTGTTGGTTGCTGAATGTTTCTCAACCTTGAAAAATTAAAATCTAAAACAACTCAAAGTCATATGACACTGGCAGTGACTGTATAAGGTTGAGAAATGGAGATTTGCTTGCATTAAAAACAGTAAAAATAACAGGCTGTTAGGTGTTGTACCCAATCAATTCTCAACAGAAATTGGAAAGCAATAAAAACAATCTTAGTTCTGCAAGTTTTACAGTTTTTTTTGCCTGACTCAATTTACCACACATGCATGTTTCAAACAGCTCGTCTAACAGCTGCTGTCTTTAAGTGAATGTCTACAGATGAAGCTTCGCATGCATTTTGATTGTGCATGATAAGCATTTTGGTTATCTCCACAGTTTTAAAGGGTCAATTCCCCCCCATGCGAATAATGCTGGTTTTTATTGTTAACAGTGTTCAATATATATTTCACTTTTGTGGAATATAGCTTTTAAACTATATGTATGGCTCGGTAGTCTGAGTATGCAATCATTGTGTTTTGGGTGAGTAACTAAGATGGTTCAGTTTAAATGATAGGGTTGTTAAGGATGTGTGTGTACACTCGATGAAGGTGAGTTGAATCTTTTGGTTTTTCAAACTGGATAAACCTTTTTCTTTTCATCTCTTATTGTTTCCCTCTGTATTTCCCACTCTCTGCTTAAACCAGGGGGGTCAAACTCAAGGCCCGGGGGCCAAATCTGGCCCGCAACTTCATTTTCTGTGGCCCCATAAGAGCTTGCCAAAAACTATAATATGTTTATTATATGGTAACATGCTACTTTACAGAAGCACGTTGCCCATAAACTACATGTCCCACAATGCATCTCAAATTTTACTTTTTTCTCAGAATTTGATTTTTTTTCTCCAAAATATCACTTTTTGTTTATTTATTTTTTCTTCAGAATTTGGCTTTTCTTTTTAAATCATTTTGTGACATTCTCACTGAACAGACTTGCAATTATTTGCCCTAGACTTCTGCTTTTAGACGTAGTTAATTATGAAGTTATTACCCTATCTGATAATAATCCAATGCAGAGGCAATAATGTAATATAATACATTATTTTATATATATTAAATATTTATATATGTATTTTTATATAGTCTTAAAGTTACAACCGGCCCTTTGAGTGCAACCAAAATGCTGATGTGGCCCGTGATGATATTGAGTTTGACACCCCTGGCTTAAACCTTTTTACCTTGTTGTCCTCGTCTCCAGAGGCTGACGACCTGGCCCAGTACCTGGACCACCTGTTGGCCCACTCTGCCCCCAAAAAGCCCACCAAGAAAGGGACAGGAGCTTTGGGGAAGTTCAAGGCTCTGGCGACTAAAACCAAGGACATGGTGTCTCTGATGAACAAAGCTCAGACCCTCAACGTGGAAAGTGAGCGGACAAACAAGCAAAGCAATATCTATGCAGTGTTTCAGGTCGATTTTAAAGCTGTTTTTTTTTTAAATCCAGATGTGAACATGTACCTGCCCAACAAGCTGTTCCGCTCAACTCAACCATCTCTAAACCTGAACCTCCCAGAATCCTCCTCACAACAGGAAACTCAGGTGTGTTTTTGTGCCCTTTTCTGTTTTCATTTACAGACCAATCAGCCCTTTTCCCTCCAGTCCAACAGTACATTTTCCACCAATCATAGGCAAGGCAAGTTTATTTACGCATCACCTTTCAACACAAGGTGCTTTACAAAAATGAAAGACATTAACGGCCCGTCCACACACAGGCATGAAAAAATCTTTCAAAGCTTCGCCCATTCACTTGAATGGGGGTGATGTAGAAGATTTTTTATCTTCGCCGAACTGCATTGTGGGTAGCGGAGCATGGCTTTGCAAGCATCGTGAGCATCAAAGGTTGAGCAATGTTCAA